GAGTCGGGGGCCCACTGCCGAGAAGGCCCACTTTCTTGTTCTTTCCCTCTGGGCCTCCCTCGGAGTTAGGCCCCTCAGCCACCCCTCCTGGCTAGAGCAAGTGATATGGGTAGATCTAGGTAGGAGAAGGTGTTCCACCAGATATTGAGGTCCTCAACTATTTAGGGCTGTATATGACATCATTAATACTTTGAAATCAATGCGGAAACGAACAGGTAGTCAATGCAAAGCCACCAGTGTGGGGGAGATATGTTGATGTTTTCTCACCCTGCCGCCTCATTCTGCACCATTTGGAGCTTCCGAATCAATCTCAAAGGTAGCTCTAAGTAGAGCGCATTACAGTAGTCTAATCTCAAGACTACAAGCGCATGGACCAGAGTGTTGAGGGCCCCAACATCAAGATAGTGACTCAGCTGGGCGATCCGCCAAAAATAGAAGTAGGCGGTGCAGACCACTGATGCTATTTGGGTCTCCATGGTAAGCACCGGATCAAGATGTACCCCCAAGCTGCGAACCTCAGTCTTCGTGGTGAAAGTCACCCCCCAAAAAGTGAGGGAGTTTCCCAAACCACCAATGTCTGGGCCACCCACCCTCCGGACTTCCATCTTGTCTGGGTTCAGCCTCAGACCATTCGCCTGCATCCATCCCAGTATGGCATCCATGCAGCACTGGAGGGATGCAATGACATCCACTTTTGTAGGAAAAAAGGAGATGTAGAGCTGGGTGTCATCAGCGTATTGATGACACAAAGCTGCACACCCCATGATGACCTGACCCAGTGGCCTCATGTAGATATTAAATTGCTTTAGGGAGATAATCGAGCCCTGCGGAACTCCACAATTGAGATTCCATGGAGCCGATACACTGCCCCCAAGCTGTATTCTCTGGGGACAGTCCTCCAAGAAGGATCGGAGCCAGGTTAATGCCAGACCACCAATTCCCATCTTGGAGATCCCCCCAGGAGGATTCCTTTGGTCAACGGTATCAAAGGTGGCTGAGAGATCGAGAAGGACCAACAGAGACATTTTGCCCTGTCACCCTCCCTCAGGAGGTCATCAAACAGGGCGACCAATGCCATTTCCATACCTTGGTGTGGCCTGAAACCAAACTGAAATGGATCCAGGGCGTTGGTTTTGTCCAGATGGGCCTGAAGCTGGTCAGCCACCACCCTCTACCACTTTACTAAGGAAAGAAACATTGACGACGGGCCTATAATTGCCGATATCGTCCGTCGCCAAATTTGGTTTCTTTATAATGGACCTAATGACTGTCTCCTGGAGAGACCCATTAATTATTGCAGTGGCCCATCCTGATGTTATAGGCCTGGCTGCTTTGATTAGCCAGGCCAGGCAAGGGTCAAGTGAGGAGGTGGTGGCACAATAGCGGTCAAACACCTTGTCCACCATATCTGTCATCACAGGCTGAAAGAGATCAAGTCTCATCAGGCAAGGCGGAGTACTAGACGCCTCTGCTCAATCTACTGTGTTCATAAAAAGAGAAAACTCCTGGTGGATGGTCTCCACTTTAGATTTTAAAAATGCCACAAATTGCTCAGGTGAGATACTACCCTGTTTCCCTGAAAATAAGACCTAACCTGAAAATAAGCCCGAGTATGATTTTTCAGGATGCTCATTATATAAGCCCTACCCCCAAAATAAACCATAGTTAAGTGAAAGCCCGCCCTCCACCATTGTGCAGCAAACAGAACATGATGACACAACTGTGTTTGAATAAACATATATGGTTGTACATGGGAAAAAAAATCTCCTGATAATAAGCCCTAATGTATTTTGGAGCAAAAATTAATATAAGACCCTGTCTTATTTTTGGGAAAACATGATAATAGGAGACCTATCACTTAGACCAGTGGTTCTTAACCTTTGTTACTCGGATGCTTTTGAACTGCAACTCGCAGAAACCCCAGTCAGGACAGTTGGTGGTGAAGGCTTCTGGGAGTTGCAGTCCAAAACTCCTGAGTAAC